CGGCGGCGGCGGCGGGAGCCGGAGCGGCGGGCCGGGCAGCCGCACCAGCGAGCGGACGAGCGGGCGGCGAGCAACGCGGAGCGCGCGGGGCAGCGCGGAGGGAGCGCAGCGCGCAGCGGTCGGAGCCCAGAGGCCGGAGCGGCGCCGCCCCCGCCGTCCCTGCGAGGCCCCGGCCGGGATCTCGACGAGGGAGCCGGCGGCATGGCCCGGCAGCCCGGGGCGCGGGGGCGCTAGGTCCCGGGCGGGTGCCCATTGCCTCGCCGCCGCCACTCCGCGCCGCACCGCGCGCCCCGCCCGCTCCAGCCGCCCCCGGGGCCGCCGGCGGCCCATGAGCCCCGGCCTCAAAGTTTGCGGCGGGCGGGCGGGCGCGGAGCCTCCAAGATGCCGTTCCACCCGGTGACGGCGGCGTTGATGTACCGGGGCATCTACACCGTGCCCAACCTGCTGTCGGAGCAGCGCCCGGTGGATATCCCTGAGGACGAGCTAGAAGGTGAGTGCCCGGCCGGGACCCCTGCCACGCGCCCTCCTACCTGTGCGCCCAGGTACCGCGCTGGCCCGGGGCGCCGGGGACCCTGCTGCGCGACTCGGATGAGCGGCTGCGCGGGAGGCGGGACGGCCGGGTGGCCCTGGGCGCCGCGGTGGGGGGTCGCCGCGGCGCGGGGACAGCCCGGCCCCTGCCCGCGTGGCCCCCCGGCGCTGCGGAAACTTGCGGGGCCCCGTAGCGGGGTCATTGGGCCGCGTGGCCGGTGGTGACGGTGCGGCAAGGCGGCGGGGGCTGAAGTAGGGAGTCCGAGCTGTTGCCCCCCGCGCCCGCCGCCGGAGCGCCCGCATCCTGATCCCTTCCGCGGCGCCCGCCCGTGGCTCTGCGCTCCTATTGACATTCCGCTCGTGTCGCGTTGAGAATCCAATCTGCTCCGGCAGTGGGAGAAGGGGAGAGAGGGCGACTGCCCCGCTCTTGCCGGGTGCGGGGCTGCCCCCATCCCCTTCTGCGGCCCTGCAAGGGACCCCTACCCGTGCGCTGCCGAGGCAGCCGGGAGGCGTTGGCGACAACAAGTGGCCGGATTGGGAGGCTCGGTCGCGATAGCGAGCCTGGAAGGAAAAGGCAGAGGCCGGAACCTAAACCTCCCCGACCCGAGTCCCCGTGCCTTTCGGGAATAGGGACCGCACGCAGGCAGTTGGCTATTGAAGATCAGAGCAGGAGGCAGAAGCTGGGGTTCCTGGACTGAGTGTCCTGGGGTGCAGTGAGACCCCTAGGGCCTTCCAAGCTCTTTCTCTGCTGAGATTGGGGGCGGGGGTGTGCTCAAGATTCCCCTCCCCCAGGCCTCTTGAGGCCCCATATGGAGTGGAGTCGGGGACTCTGAGCTGATGGGAGTCTTGGTCCCTTAGGATGTTTGTAAGCTCCTGGGGGAGCGGTTGAGATTACCCAGATGATGGGCCTGTCTCCGATCCCTGGAGTCGAGGGGTCTCAGCTCTGGGGCCTCATCTGGGCTCATAGGAGTGAGTTGGAGTGACCAACACAGGAAAGAATACTTAGTGGGAGCCCAGGGGAAGCCATTCAGGAAGTCCTTCCTCAGCCCAGGCCTGGTCTGGGGCAAATTTTGGGCGAGTAGACTATGGAGAGAGAGGGTGCTGCTGCCGTGCTCACTGCACCACAGTCTGCCAGACACCCACTTCCAACAACCCTGATGAACTCAGGTACAGGAAAAGCCGCAGTGGGGGAGGTCTCAGCCCCTACAGAGGGGGACAGATAAAAGGATGCTGTCCCTGACCTGACCTTAGCACCCACCACGAGAAACTCAGGTCCTGTCCTATCTGGACCAAAGCAGAGCCTCCTTCAGGTCGAGGGAAAGGGATGGAGCCCAGGAGGGGCGCAGGGCACAGGCCAGTTTTCCTTTACTTTATTGCCTCTTATTCTGAGCCACTACAGAAGCGTTCATCCACTCCTTTCTCTCCATTCTTGGGACAGAGGCGGCATGTCTTCCCCAGACCCTGGGCAGATTAGGCTTCCTTCTTCCTCCTGCTCCTGGCACCCCCACCACCATGACTCTGGCCCCACAACTCCAGGTCTCACTGGATCCCTCCCGATGTCCTAGAGTGCACACTCAGGCCAGAGAGAAGCTGAGAGAGACTGGCGTGCAGGGGTGAGGAGTGCCACGGTGGGCAGGGGCAAGGGCAGGGAGGCCCACGCTCCCTTCGATCCATACAGAGGACCTGCTGGCAGAAGCCCAGTGGTGTTAGTCACCATCACACCAAACACAATCCCTGTTTTTCTCTGGTCCCCTTTGGACTAGAGGAGGGGCCCTGTGCAGGGGGCACCTGAAGGACAGGGCCATCCCTGTGGCTGGCAGGTGGAGGGCACAGAGCCAGCAGACACCTATGGGCATCCACACATGAAGGCAGAAGTTCTCCATGCCCCCCTTTGGCTGCTGAAAATCAGACTCTGGGCTCCCTGCAGCCAGTCTTGAATGCCAGGGCTGGGTGCAGAGTGGCTGTCCTTCATACAGATGCCACTTTTGCTTCCTTAATTTCTCCAGCACACACTAGTGTTCCTGTCCCAGGGCAGTCTGGGTAAGACCCAGGCCCATTGACTAGAAGGAATCAGTGAAGGAGCCCATGGACTAGATAGGGGAGTCTCTGACCTGGGATAAAATGCTGCCTGAGCCTGCCTGCTGCAGAAATCCAGGGGGGGCGGTCAGTCTGCATGGGGGAGGAGGACCACGAGCAGGAAGGGAGGAGTGGAATGTGAGGGTAAAAGGAGAACAGGCAGACAGTACTGAGTTCGAGTTTCTGCACCCTTGGCTCAGGGAGTGACCCTGGACAACCGTTCACCTCTCTGAGTCTTGGTTTCCCCATCAGTAAAAGGGGATTGGCACTGTTGTCCTCAGGATGGATGGTGGCAGAGAATGCTGTGGGAGTACTCAGCACAGGGCCTGGCAAGGGGGTCTGAGGACCCAAATGTAGGAAGAATACTCTACAGACTCACAGGCTTGGAGTAGGCTCTAAGGCAAGGCAGCATGTAGTGGACCAAGAAGTCAAGCTGGGGGCCAGGACTGGGGAAGCTGAGGCCCTAGAGAGCTTTGCATGGCTGTTGGCCAGGGTAGAAAGGGGCCAGGCAGAGTAAACCTGGAGGTCTACTCAGCCCCATGTACAAGAGGCAAGGGTGGTTCCCACATCCCTCCTGCATATACCCCACCATGACTGGAACATAACCCCTTTCTGAAATGCATCTAAGTGGGGACCTCCAGCAGCACTGAGACAGACTGCTCACCTAGACAATGAGGTCCAGCATCCAAAGGCAGGGAGGGGACTGGCTCCCCAGAAAGAGAGAGACAGGTAGCCACAAGGCTGGGTTCTGGAATGGAACTGTGGAGCTTCTGTTGAGGGTGGCCAGTTGGGGACCATTGGCATCAAGGAGCCCCCTTCTCTGCCCTTGCTTCCTGAACCCCAAACCCTGCAGCTGCCTCTGCACAAGCCAAAAATTCAAGGAGGATGGAGAGTTGGGGCTCAGAGCCAATGCTGCGGACAGTGGCAGCCACTACAGAGGGCGACGACTGCCCCTTCCAGTGTTCCCTCTCTATCCAGACTCAAACTCTCCAGCACAACGCTGGCGTCTTTTTGGGTCTGCAGAAGACTTGAGCTCCAGTGCCGCTCCACAGGTTGGGAGGGTCTGGGGAATGTCATGTTAAAAACGGAAGGTAGGGGACAATATCAGCCTGGAAACCTAGAGGCTCTGCCAGCCCATTTCCGGGCCAGACATCCCCATGCCAAGATGGAGTACAACAAGTTTTGCCTGGCCTCATGGGGCAGGGAAGGAGTAAGGCTTTCGGGGAATGCATCTAGTAGTGATTGTCCATGGCATACAATGACTGAGCATCCTGACACACACACACACTCCCATGGAGCCCTTAGCAGAGGCTAGACCTCAGCCATAGAACAAGAATTTCATCCTATTGATACTCTGATGCATCTGAGACTCCGAGGAAAATAAGTGCCTTGCCCAGGGCACTTGGTTGCTGAGCAAGAGAGGCAGACAGAATTCAAGGCCAGGCCTTGGGTTCTGGTTCCAGCTTTCAGGCAGGCCGGCATGGCATCCCAGGTTTGCCCAGACTTCCCTTTCCTCTCACACTGCCATCTGGGATGGTCTGATTTACAATGGCCACCTCAGATGATTCTTCCTGTTTAATCATTGCAGAAAGTTCCATTGGACAAGTAAACAGCAACGTAACACCAGAGCTGGGATACAAACTTGGGTCTGAATACTTAATAACATCAGGATACTTCTCTGGCTAAGAAGACGATGCCTGAACTGGACCTCTTGCAGGCAGATCGGTGGACTGGGCTGGGATAGTGTTCTGAAACATTAGTGTGAGCTAGGTGTGCTGGGAGGGAGGGGGGAGTGCACAGATGGAGAGTGGCCAGCTGTGGATTTACCCAGTAGCCTTGGGAGGTCACCCCTGCCTGAGAGATGTCTTTGGTACTCACACGGCTGTCTCAGAGCCAGTCCCCTGAGCATATGTCCCAAGATTCACTTGCTCATTATTGTCTCTCCTGCCTGGTGCATTTTCCTCAGGGGCCTTAGAAAAGGGCACTGAGACTGCCCTGCAACTGGGGAGTCACCCTGAACCCTGCCAAGGTGAGAAGTACAGCTCAGGCCTCAGTTCAAAGCAGAGAGTGATCCATAGCACCCCCACTGTATCCAGGACTTAGACATCCTTCCTGGTATCTAGGCATGGCTTCCTAATGGGCCTCAGACTCCAAGGGGTATAGTTTCTAACTCTGAAGTTCCCCCAGACCAACTCCTGGCTGGTTCCCTAACCCTCAGCTCTGTTTGTCTCTTCTGTGGATGCCCCAGAGACCTTATGCTGAGGTGCAGAAACCTCTGTTTGAGCCTTTCTCTGAGCTCTCTAGTAGATGGACTCCCGCATTGGTTATTCAGTCCTTTGAGGATCCAGCATGTTTGCGGTTTCAGGGACAGGCCCTATTCTAGGTAATGAGGACTCTCGGTGAACAAGACCCACTCAGTCCCAGCAGAGTTCACTTAAGGAAAAGAGCGGGTGTGTGGAGGGCTGGGCAACCAGAGAAAAGGCAAGGCTAGCCAGAGGCAAAGAGACAGAATCATCCAGGTGGGGATCTGGGCTACATCTGAGTTTGATATGAGGACAGGAATAATGCTGCAGACAAAGCTGCAGTTCAAAGCAGTCTTGGTGTCCTCCAGGCTTGAGGGGATCCCTGGGGTGTGAGTCCTGAACACCAGTCCAGAAAGGTGACAGCACTGGTTAGAAATGAGAGTAGGGGGAGAGGGGAGAAAGAGAGGAGAGAGAAGAAAGGAGGCGTGAGAGAAGGAATTTAAGCACACCTCCATACTATCCAGACACTCCAGGCAACCAGACTTCCCGCAGCAGCTCCTGATTCTCCGCAGCGGCCCTGGCTATTGCCAGGTCTTCATTTCTGGCCACAAGGGGCACATCACCTCCTTCAGGGCCCAGGAAAATGCTGGGTAGTACTTGGCCTAGAGCTGCTAGGGTCCAGGGTTTTCAGGAAGCCCTGGGTCTGGCTCAGATCTACCAACCCAGCCACTTTCCTGGCTCTGACATTTCTGATGCAGAAAACAGCCCCCAAAACTTGCCTGAGGTGTGTGTGGCGAATGTTTACCCCAGCCAGTCAGTGGGACTCTGACCTCCAGACCTCATGTGTGACCCTACATGGAGGAGCCAGAGGAGGATCAGGATCATGGTTTCTGCTCTGTGGTAGGCCCAACAGGCTGGCCTGAATTCCTTGTTCTCCCAAGGCCAGGGAAAGTATAGGCCCTTACAAGCCATTTCAGGGCTTATAGAGCCCTAAGGCCTGGGATAGTGTAACCAGTAGGATAGTGTAATCATCCTGAATCCTCACTGAACTAAGCTGGCCTCCCGCCCTCCATAAACCCTCTAGGTCTGTAGCATGGACCACCTCATCAGTCTTTAATCTCTCTCTCTCTCTCTCTCTCTCTCTCTCTCTCTCTCTCTCTCTCT